CTGAGCTGCTGGTACCAATAATAGAAATGAGGCATCAAATCACTTGGGTCAGAGAGGCAATTTGGACACCCCACTCATTTTTCCAAACATTTCTGGGCCTGGTTGGAATGAAGCACATTAACTTCAGTGGGCTTTGGATGATTTCCTACACACACAAAACTTGGAAAATTATTCTTTAAAAGAAATGCTGAAGTTAAACTAGGAAATTTTAACAATTCTCTTTGTATTTTAATTTAATGGCTGTATGCTGACAATGTAATTACAGAGATGCTATGTTAATTATTGCCAGATGACATTAGTGGGATGGCAAAAGCATCCAGTTTTCTAAAGAATAGTTCACAGCTGAACTGTTCTTCTCTCCCCACCCCATTTTTAGTAGAGAACTATATTCAAAAAGTCAGGGACAGCTGAATTAAACCAGAGTCAAACCATTTACAAATACCAGTAATGTGGCCTATCTTAGCATATTACTTTCAACCCAAATTTAATGTTATTGCAGAAAAATACATTAACCATGTTCCCTTAGTGCCTACATATATAAAAAAGGAAGGTTTGCAGGACCTTGTGATATTATTGTGCCTAAAGTGGGTAGTGGACACCCAAGTTATCACTGAAGACAAAGAAGCAAGATTTAGATTTGTGCTTTATATAGTTGAGCATTTGAAATGTAATTTTTGGTTTAGGTTTGTGGATTTTTTGAGGTCCCTCCAAAAGATTTGTAAAGCATGTTCACATTCACTGTTGAGTACATATTCTGTGTGAGTTGAACTATGCTAAACTTCAATTTATACATGTAATATTACTGGAGCTCCATACCACTACAGGATAGGTACAAAAAATTACCACCCCATGAGAGCTATTATAATATAATATAATATAATATAATATAATATAATATAATATAATATAAACTTACATATTCAAAATTGCATATATAGATATTTATCTACAGATACAAACATTTATATAGTTAAGTTCACCTTGTGAAGTGTCCTGTAAGTGTCTTGTAGATGCTGTTTGAAGTAGAGTTAATGAGCTAAAAGTCTTGGGGAATATAATTGTATCCTGCTGTGTCATCAGACAAAAATTTGTAAGCACATTTGTACTGCTCTAGGTAGGACTTAAAATGAAAAATCTTCTGTAGGTGATCTTAACAATAAGGTAGCATAACAAAGTTGGCAGGACATCCTTACAAGTCTTAATTTTACTGGAAGGAAAAGAGGCAAAGGTGAAACCTGAAAGCTGGTACATCCCAAATGACCTCAGGCTAAACCCACTGAGGTATCACCATGTGGCCAGGACTGAATCCATACTGGTGCCTGTCTGACATCACCACTGGCCATACTGGTCCGTGTCCCTTGGCCTATCTACATGTGACAGAAAAATTCCCTTTACTAATATTCCTAATTCACAGCAGACAAACCTGAAGCTGCACAAACCCACTTACCTTCCTGTACTAACACTGCATTGGCTTTGCATCTGCTTTGCATAGAGTTCAATGCCAGGAGAAGCCACAGGAAAATTAACTCTTGTCCCAGCTTGTCTGATACTTTCTGTTAACAGGGAAAACTTACTATTTATCCTGAGGCTGGAGCTGAATTTTACATTTTCTCCCTCCTCCCCCCACCACAAGTTGGGTGGGTGGTGAATCCTCCTATATTCTCAAAGTGAAAATGTCACTGAATTGATTGTATGATGTTTAGGAATGGGCAAATCTGAGTAGTGTAAATGTGGATGATGGGATTACACTTGGCATGAGGCATCTTGTTGGAATAAGGACCCCTGACTGGTGCTTTGCCCTCAATGATCCATATCCATGGAGGATCCAGAGGACTGGGCCTGGAATATTTTAGTGCTAATATGAAGAAGCCTTTGAATTGCCAAATAGGCTTTAACTTAACAAAAGTATCTAGCTGTAGAACACTGAAGTGTTCTGGGATTTGAGGATGTGCATGGTTTTTGCACATGTTCAGAATTCTCTGTGCAAATTGTACTGAAGCAACAATCAATAAAATGAAGTGAGTAACTCACAGAACAAATTTTCCACATAATCTTAGAGGTTTTCCATGACTTGTGCTGACTTTCACCAGCCTTCATATCAATGCAGTGTATGGGTTGGCACTTAATGTTTTTGACCAACTCATTTATTTGATCTTGTTTTCGAACCACTCCACACGTGGTCACGAGAAGATATTTCTGAATAAAATTTAATTAAAGCAAACAGTAATTTCATAACAGATACTTAGAAACAAATACGTGGACAAAAAAAAATTTTTTTTTTTTAAAAAGTCATGCTTTGCATTCTGCTTTTTTCTGGAATCCCAACAATTCCTTTTCCCTCCACATGATATGCAAAAGGATTATTTGCACATTTTGTTGAGATCATGTGGAGATACAACAGTCCAAACTGTCACTGGGACCTGAAATTTTCATGGACAAGGTTCTGCTAATGGCAGCTCCTCTCTGGATACTCTTCTGATCCCAGCTGTGGCTGTGTGAGTTCAGGGTTTCCCACATCCCAGGCTTGTGGTTTTACCACCGGGCTACTCGTTCTTTGAAAGCAAGTCTGACTTGTGGTTTGTACATCTGCTCATGTGAGGCAGCTTATCTAATAGCTCTGATTTGCAAGATGATTTCATGTTACTCTGTCACATGGATTTTTGTGAGGGTTTTTTGTTGAGGGTGTTGGTAAACAACCTAATAACCTGTAACACAAAAATGACAAGGTTACCAACACCTGGTAGGGGCAAAATGGGGATCATAAAGAGTTTCTCATCCCTGGAAGTATTCAAGGCTGGGTTGGATGGGGCTCCAAGCAACCTTTTCTAGCGGAAGGGGGATTGAAACTGGATGATCTTTAAGGTCCCTTCCAAACCAGACCATTCTGTGATTCTATGATTCCCCTGGGTGATTCATGTCAATATATCCACTCCCAGTACATAGGAGTATCCTCACAGAGGCTCCCAGAGCAATCCACAGGACTTCTGCCACTGGTTTCAATGACAGAAAAGACTCATTTTAAGAACACAAGAAAAAGCTCATCTGACCCTTTGTAGTCTCTGCCTGAAGTGACACCATTTTCTGCCCAACACCTCAAAGATGTGCTTGTTTTCCATCCAACTCTTAACACCTTGTGACTGGGGAGTAGTGCAGAACACCACCACAGGGGGGTTGGCTTGTGAACGTGAATTAATCCCAGGCACACGCTTCCTAAATCCCAGAGGGTGGATGTCTACGATGCTCTGTTGGCTGTGCCCCAAAAGCAGATCCCCTCAGACACATGCCAAGAGGGAAAGAAGCTGGAAGTTGTCACATGCTGTTGCAACCTTTTAAATTAAAATTCTCACACACCAGATGCATAGACACAATGTATTTATGTTTGAATTTATCTAGTGTATTTATCTTTAAATTCCCAATTTAAAGGGGGAAGGAGAAAGTGGCCAAATTAATGCCTTGTGTAAGCCAGTTGGCATCTTGGGAGTCACCCTTGGAGTTAGCTCTGTGAGGAATAAGGTTTGTTACCTTTGTCTGAGACCTGGTGACGTGTTTTAAAAAAATCTTAGTGCTCAGGATGCAACACAGGTATGTATTTATATACATATATTTATATGTATATTAGACCACCATAGCTGGCCCTTGAAGAGTTCATATTTAGGCCCTGGCACAGGTTGCCCAGAGAAGCTGTGGCTGCCCCATCGCTGGAAGTGTCCAAGGCCAGGATGGATGGGGCTCTGTGGAATGTGTCCCAATCCATGACAGGGGAGTGGAATTGGATGATCTTTAAGGTACTTTCCAACCCAAAATACTGTGTGGTTCCATATTCCAGTTAATTGAAATTGTGGTTTCGGCCTTTTAGTAAGAGGACACAGTTCACTCTGTGCCTGTTAACTCACTTCCAACCCCCTTTCCCCCCACCCCTGCGTGTTTATTAACTTTTATTCAGAGCTAACAATGAAACATCCCATTTTATTTTGAAAGCTGACCAACTTTACTGGGTTTTTAAGTTTCATGGCAGTTCCACAAGGCCTCTGCTGACATTTTCGTGATTGGCTACAGATAAAATTACTTCTAAGTGTGGCCAGGTGCTGCCTCATGCCTGCCCTGGCTGGGCAGCCCACACGTCCCCTCAGGATGAGCCGATCCCAAGTCCTACAGTGGCTTTTATACCTCTTCCTCTCCGGGGTCCCCACCGGCAGCGAGGGAAGGGGGAAATGGCAAGGAAACGCTGGAATTGTCCATATTTCCCTTCACCGGCCTTGAGCAGCACTTCCCAGACAGACCCTTCCCTCAGGGTGCCTCCGAGCCCTTCCCTGGTCTTGAACCTGTGTCCTCCTGCCCCGTGGAATCACAGGATGGAAGGGACCGAGGAATCCCACCCCATGGGGTCACAGGATGGGGCACGCTGGAAGGGGACCACAGGGGGTCTCATCTGGTCCCGCTTCCCTGCTCAAGCAGGGCCAACCCAGAGCACACAGCACAGGATTGTGTCCAGGCAACTCTGGAATATCCCCCATGAGGGAGACTCCACACCCTCCCTGGGCAATCTGTTCCAGTGCTTGGTCAGTTCTTCCTCATGTCCAGGTGGAACTCCCTGGGCATCAGTTCCTGCCCGAGGCCTCCCATTGCTGGGCACCCCCGAGCAGAGCCTGGTCCATCCTCTGCCCCCTCCCTGCAGACACTGACACACATGGATGAGGTCCCCTCTCAGTGTCTCCTCTGGAGGCTGAACAGCCCCATCTGCCTCAGCCTTTCCAGTCCCTTCATCATCTTTGTCCGCTGGATCCCCTCCGGGATCTCCGTGTGTGTCTCATCCCGAGGATTCCACTCTGGACACGGGAATATCCCGTGGGCGGTCTCGAACCCACGTCCTTCCGCTCCGCAGGCGGGGAGGGAGGTGCTGCCTCCGCGGCCAGGGGCGGGGGAGCGCGGAGCGCATCGATCGCGGGTGCCCATCGGTCGCTCGGCGCTCGGCTCGGCGGGCAGCGCCGCCCAGCCCTGCCCGTCCCCCGCCATTTCGCACCGGGACGGGAAGGGACGGGAAGGGGCGCGGAGCGGGAAGGGACAGCGGGAGAAGGGGCGCCGGGCGGGCACGGCGGGCTCCGGCAGCTCCCGCGGCACCGCCACACAGGTACCGCCTTACCCCCGCCGTGCCGAGCTGCGGCGACCCTCTCCCTTCCTTCTTTCCTTCCCCGCTTTCCCCTCCGAGGAAGCGCAGCCCCCTCCTCTCACCCCCCTTCCCTTCCTCATCCCGTCCCTCTTCCTCGCCCTGCCCCGTTCTTCCCCCCCCTCCTTGGCCGGCATCCCCTGGAGCCGCATTCCCGGTGCTTCCCGGCGGGAGGGGACAGGTGGCCAACGCCCTGCGGGACCCGGTGGCCACGCCGAGCGAACCCCCCCTTCCACCCTTCCCTTATCCCTCCTATATTTATATATATATTTTTCCCCCCCTCCCCTTTCTCCCAAACCCTCCAAGCAGGAAAGTTCGGGCGGGGGGCGCCGCGGGGGTCCCGCTGCTGGGCGAGCCCGGGAATTAGGAATTAAAAGGGAACACCGCCCTAAAGTGTGTGGGGGGAGCCGTCAGGATCAAGCCCTGCTCTCCCGGCCCCTTATCCCGGCACAGGAGGCGCATTCCCGGCTGGGAGGCTCATCCCGAGGGGCTCCGGGACGCTCCTTAAAAACCCGGGCGGGCTCCCGGAGCCACCGGAGGGAACCGAATCCTTGAACCAGTTTATCCCCGGCACGGGATACTCCTCGACCTTTCCCAGAATTTAGTGTATTTTTTACTTATTTAGTGTATATTTTACTTATTTAGCATACTTTTTATTCATTTGGTGCATTTTTTACTCAACTGCTGTATTTTTCACTCATTTTATGTATTTTTTACTCAATTGCTGTATTTTTTTTACTTATTTAGTGTATTTTTCACTTATTTAGTGGTTTGGTTTTTTTTAATCCCTTCACAATCGCTACCTCCGAGCCGAGCGCCCGCGCTGCACTCCCTGTATATATAACGTTTGAGAATTCCCTCATCCTCCTTTTTTGTCTTGTCTTCCAGGGAGGGAGCTGCTTCCCGCTGTAAATAGTGGGAGGAACGCGAGGCTGGATGAGAACGCACCGGCAGCATCCTCGTTAGTGGGAGCCCGGCTCTGCTTTAATGTTGGTTTCTTTGTCGTCAGGTCTGCTAAAAAAATGACAGAATATAAACTTGTTGTGGTTGGAGCTGGTGGTGTAGGGAAGAGCGCCCTGACAATACAGCTAATCCAGAACCACTTTGTGGATGAGTACGACCCCACAATAGAGGTAAACAATTTCATCTCGTACTTTTTGTGGAGAGGGATTATCAGTAATAATGGTGGTTGTTTGCTTTTGGACACTTCAACCACAAGAACAAGGCTTTATAATCAAAAGAGCTCAAAGATAATGGTCTGCACCACACCAGCGTTGGAGAAGAAATTGCTGTGCTGCTTCTGGCTGTGGAGCAACAGCTGCAGTAAAAAATTAACAATTTGGATTCATTGAAAGTGTGGTGTTAATTGCCATGTTTGCTTGGACAGTTTGGATGCACGTGTTTAGGATCTCAGTGTCAAGGTGTTTGCCAAACTCATTTGCAAATGCTTGGCAAAACACTTAGTGGCTTTGAGCAGCCTCTTAAATGTGACTTTTTTTTCTTTGATGAGAAGGAAAACCTTTTAGTCCTGAAATGTATGTGCCAGCCTTTCTCATTTCTCAGTGTGAAAGTGAGAAATGTGTCCTGGAATGTTACAGTGAATGAAGCAAAAACCAGAGCCTGTCTTAATTTTTTTCTATTCTAATACACACCAGTGCACATTTCTGTATCTAGAAAAATTGTTCTAAGATAGCTGCTGTAGTGGATTCTTTGAAATACATGGCACAGTACCTCAGAGTTTGAAATTGTATTTAAGCTTTAAAAGTTGTGCTATTTTAAAGCTTTTTAATGAGCAAACAAGCTCTGCCTTTTAAATATCAGAAAAATACTGGTGTTGTCTAACATCTCCTGTGGATCATTGCATTTAATAACCTCAGACTCTATAAAAGGAGAAATGACACCATAATTTACCCAAGATTTTATGTTCCCAGCACTGAGGCTCTGCAGCCTGTGACTTCATTTATCTGTTTATACAGTGAGGTACTTCCAGACTCACTTGAAGGAATCACAAGGGTTTAAATCTGGGCTTAAAATGGAGACTTGGGAAGTGCCTAAGTAGTGATTTTCAGGTAGGCACAAGTGAAAGGAGACAGTGCCCTGAGGTGTAGAAAGATGTGTTTAGTGAAGGCCTGAGTTAAAGTGCCCCAAATAAGAGTTGTGTTGGTTTGAGGTTACCTTAAATGTGCCTTTGTGTCTCCTTGTCTCTCTGTTGCATGGCCAGATAACATCATACTTGCAGAAGATTTTGTGACTAGACCTGTGGAGAGAAGAGTGTTTGACTTATACCAGGAGAGCAGCTCTTTTTCAATTGCTAAGAGTGAAATCTTAAAACAACAGCCACCCAAAACACTCTTAAAAACCAGAAAACACACAAAATCTATTGAGAGGAACAAGCAAAATGGGGATTTTACTTTTCCTGCGAAAGGAACTTTGGAGGATGTTGGTCCTTGGTGCTTGTTCCCAATTATCTGGGTTTCTCTTAGGTTAGAGGTGTGTTTAGGCACCACAGAAAGTGCTGTGGAGGTTCTGTCTTACAAGTTGTGACTGTGTAAACAATTCAGGAACACGGGAACCTAAATGTCAGTATTCCTAAATCACTTGGGGGATTTTGCTACTCAACAAGCTGAGTGTTTTGAGGAACAACAAATGCATTTTAATGTAAAATAATAATATGAAATTACAGTTCATTACAGAATGAACTTAAAAATCCCAGAACTGTCTCCTTTGTTCATAGAATCATAGGATAGCCTGAGTTGGAAAAGACCTTAAAAATCATCCAGTTCCAACCTCATGCCATGAACAGGGCACATTCCACTATCCCAGGTTGCTCAGATCCCCATCCAGCCTGGCCTTGAACACTTCCAGAGATGGGGCAGCCACAAATTCAGCAATGTGCAGGATGACTGTGTTGTGGTCCAGAATCAATACTAAATTAATTTGTTATTAATTAACCTAATGGGGTTTACACCAGCATTTACAACTTGTCACATGCAACAGTATTAATATTCTACCCTTACAAGTTCTTGTCTACTATTTACTGGTTTTATCTTCTAAATTCTGAGGCCTTGAGGATGGAGATTTATCCTCCTACTCATGTGGTAAATCACCTTGTGTGTGCTCACAGTGCTGTAATCATGTAGGTAAGCAATAATTCAGTAATAATTAAGAGTGGGCTCTGATTTAGAGTAGCAGATAAAAAAAAAGATTGGGTTTAAATGCCTCAGTCCATGCCTGGGCAGAATCCCACTCAGCAGAGAAGGGCTGTGTGATGGTGGTTCCTTTGTAGATGCAATTGTGGTGGTAGGGGCTGGTTAAAGAGCAATAGGTGTGGAGTGGTTTTCATGCAGTATGAGGAAATAAGACTAAAATTGCCTTGATTTGTAAATAGTAACAGTTCAGATAGTTTAGTAGTGTCACTGCTATTGTTTGTCACTTAATACAGTTTCTTTCATTGCCATACAGCAAAATACTGGTTTTCCCTCACAGATCATCCAGCTAAATATTTTGGGGTAGTCAGAGAAGAGAGTTTAGTATTTATGATCTATTCCATCACTACACAGTTATTGAATAATTCTAAATCTTTCCTGTGATTAACAGACCGAAACTCCATACTTCTGATATTCTGGTGCTGTGAAGAGAGGAAAAAGATACTGGTTGCCTTTACAGTGTCCTTGATGCTGCTGTTTTCAGTGGAATAGACCTGATGGTTCAACAAATAACCTGCTTGGAAAATGTCAAGTTTCATGGCCTGCTTGAGTATTTTATTTACTTACCTCCCAGCTTAGCAGATGGCAGGGCAGGGGGAGGAATTAAAATGAGTATTTGGGTGGCTACGGTTACTCAAATCTCTGTGTTTCACAGTTTCATACCTTTCTCGAAGTAGGTCTCCGAGCATGGATTTACAGCCAGGCGATTTTAAGTGTTTTATTTTAAATTCGATGTGCAGTAACCCTTGGAAATCTGCACAGAGCAGTTGGGCCAGTGCCCTCTACCGGCCGAGACTTGTTAAATCTTGTGATAATGCAATTCAAATTCATTTTATTTTTATGTCTTTCACAGCTTCAGCGTGTTTTAGGGCTAAAAATCTGTTATCTTTTAAATGTCCCAGAGAAAGAGCAGCTTTCCCAGTTGCTTGTCAGGGGTTTTAAAATTGGATTAGCAAAAATCCCTCTGCTGATTTAGGAATACTGATATTTAAGTCCGTGTTCTTAAATGACCTGTGCACTTGTGAAACTCCCACCAGTAGCTTTAGTCTGAGTAGCTGTGATATTTTAACATGAAATCACTGGTATAATGGATTTTTTACCAAATAATAGTTACTTGCTTAGATGGGATTTATTAAGCAGTGGGGTTTTTTAAGCTAAATTCCTTATGTAGAGTAGAGCTGAGATTTCATATCACATTTTCTTACCAGTGCTTGTGAACAGATAGAAGTACTACTCCTTTAACATAATTCATGCTGGTTTTTATGGCTTGTGTAAGGCCAGTAAAAGCAGGTTAAGTGATCAATGATATTAAAAAAATTACACAGTTATGTCAGGTTTGTCCAATTGCAACTTCAAATTTGGAGTTGGTACTACTTATGAATTAACTTCTAGTTTGCATTTTGTTTTTACTTAGTAGTCTTAATGTCATTTCAGGTTTGGTGTTTTGCAAGGGGGAGGAGGGAAAAAAGGCAAAAAAGCAAAATATATATAATTTCAGTAGTCTGGAAGGAAATAATAAGCTTGAATTTTCTCTCTTTTCCTTCTGCCTCAAATCCCCTTTCTAGGTAGTGACAAAGTTTTCTCCCTATAAGTGGCAAAACAAGTTAGCATCTCACAATACTGCTTTATCCAGGTACCTCTTTGCTGCTTCTGCTAACATAGTAGACATGCTAAAGCCAGCAGTTTTTAAAGCGATTTTTCTTCTCTCTTAAAAAATGATTTTTGTTGACGAAAATTAGTTAAAGCTTTTGTTTAGAGCTCAGTTGGGGGAATTTCTTTCCCTTTGAAGTGCTGAGATGGAAAGGAATAGTACAGGCTTTTCAAGAACTGCTTTTCATATTTTTAAACTAGCAGTCAAATGGCAAGATGAGAAAATGAAGGCTTTGTAAATCTGTCTGGTATAAAGATAGAAGTTCTACTAGGACTGCACTGTGAACTGTGATAAAGGTATCCAGGGACACGAGGGATCTACTGTTGAATATAAGTGACTTGGAATGAAGATTCATCCTTTGGGTTTGGTTTTTTATGTTTGGGGTTTTTTTTTCCCTTTAAGCAGTGAGATAGAATATTAACCTTATTTTAAAACATCTTGGAGCTTGTACATTTGTCTCAGCTGTATCAAAAATTAAACATGGCTTATGTATGTTTCTAAAGCAAGTTACCTGCTTCTTACTTGAACACTGAGTTTGCACTTCTGCAAAATAAATAGTTCCAAAATCATGTTGGAGGTAAACTTTTTTCCTTTAAGGTAAACAGTCAGTATTGTTTTACCTGATACTGTTAAGTGTCACCCAGGCTTAAGGTAAATGTGAGATTACAGAGTTTGTTTAGTTTAAGATACTGATTCTATACAATTATCTCTTGCTTGTTTCTCAGCATGAGCAACAAGGGAAGGAGAGAGCCTTGTGTAAAAACACAGATAGATAGAAAGTGCCCAGGGGTGGGTATACTGTGCCCTAAAATGGGTCCAAAGGAAGGAAGATAATTCTGAACTCATCTTGAAGCTGGCTAGAATTGCAGTTTTAAATCTTTACTTCCCTCCCCAATAGCTTGGGTTCACTCCTGTGTGGTGTTCAAAAAAACAGCAGCAATATTGTGTTAATCTCTAGCTAAGGAATCTGAAAACTGATACCAAGATTTTGTGTTCATACTTGTTTTTTGTTACAAGTTTAATGAGAATAATTCGTGGGGCTGTTTGATGATGCGTTTTTAAAGCTTATTGCCCTGGTTTTATTTAAATTATAGCAGTTATTGGGCAATGTCTTTATCACTAAAGCTATGTACTCTTGAAGCCTAGCACTCAAATAGACATTAATATCCACTTGTTGGGACTTTGTAAAGAATTCAGCCACTTGAATCAGTGACCTGAAAGCTTTGATTTGATAGCACTGAAATAATTTGTTCTGACATCTCTATGAACCAACCCATTGGGGCTTTTATGTGACTCTGTCTTGCCTAAAAAGCTTGAACTTCAAATATCATTATATACACCTGCTTAGGAATACATAACAGATTTCCTGTCCCAAACACTGTAGGGTTTTTATTTTGCACAGCTTTTTAAGTGGCATGGATTTTTGGAGTTGCCTTGCTCTTATGTATTCTTTCTGGTTTATTATTTTGTGCATTGTTGTGGCACAGTGATTTTGTAAACACCTATAGAATGAAGGCCAAATTGGAGTTAAAAAAAATCGGTAAATTGAGTGAGCTTAAACACAGTCCAACCTTTTAAAATCAGGATATGAAGCATCTTCCATTCCTTTATTAACAGAGACAAAAGGGGAGATGCTTTTGGTCTGGATCGTTTGTTCTTCTTGTGCAAAATAAGAAATGAGAACACTTCCCTTTGTGTGTGTGTGTGTGTGTGTATACAGGTGCACTGTTGCTTGGAGAAGATTTGGGATACAAACAAGAACATGTCCTTTCAGTGCTCTTTCCACCTGTGGATTTCTGCATACACTTAAATATGAGACACTTTTCCTATTTGCCCATCTCTAAAGTTGACTTTTAAGTGTTTTCAGTCATTCTTATTACTAGTAAATGATTTTAATATCTCCAGAGCTACTGGTGTTTGAAATCTTATTTGTTTGTGTTTAATCAAGGTGTATTTTTTTTTTCTTTTCTTAGGATTCCTATAGGAAGCAAGTAGTAATTGATGGAGAAACCTGTCTCTTGGATATTCTGGATACAGCAGGTCAAGAAGAATACAGTGCAATGAGGGACCAATATATGAGAACAGGGGAAGGCTTCCTATGTGTGTTTGCTATAAACAATACAAAGTCTTTTGAAGATATTCACCATTATAGGTGTGTATGTGCAAAAATGATTGACCAGCTTTTGTATTGGGTGGATATGGTGCTTGTTATTCCACTAGATAATCTCTTATGAAATAGCATTTAAGGGAAAACTTGCAAATTGGCAATATTGCAACTTATTTGTGCTTTTTTTTTTTACCTGGAATTTTGGGTAGTCTGAAAATCTGCCTTGTTTGCAACTTAGGCAGGCAAAATACTGGAAGCTCTTCTGGTATGAACTAATGTGACTTCAGTATTGCTAGTGAAGACTTACATAAAGGTAAATTCTGCCCATTCCACAGGTAAAGTTGTTTGCTAAGATGGAAAAACTGAAGCGGTAGGAATTGTACAGACAATATTGTCAGTCGCTGCTTTTGTTTTGGGCTGGAGAGGGAAATACCTGGGAATGTTATTAGAGGAGGAACCTGTGTGAGCCCTGACATCTAAGAAGGGCAGACACACAAAATCAGCTTCGGAATGAGCTAAAAAACAACCTGTTATTAGTTCCTTCATCTTCTCTTTTTTAAAATAATCAGTGAAAAATATCAACTCACACTTTCTTGTCAACTACACTAACACAGAGGTAGAAGCAATCTCTGGTGATTGCCATCCCAGATCACTTATAACTTAGTAGCCTGCTATTATCCTGAATTTTCCTGGGGTATGCTGGTAGAAGGCAATGCAAATCCCACCAAAGATCACTGAGTTTAGCAGCATCTAAGTCCCAAACACATAATGTTAAGCTATTCATAGTTAGGCATTTATAATAACATTACAAATGGGTTTCCTCTGGTTGTAGAGGAAGAAGGGAAAAAGGCAACATAGATGGGAAGGCAAAAGTAATGAAATTAGTGATTTTTATTGGAGATTCTTGAGAAGTACTTCTAACTAGAGTATTTCAAGATGCTTTCTAACTAGTGGTTGAAGGGACTCTTACCAAATCTCTGTGGAGGGCCAGACCAGTGGTCTTCAAACTTTAAAAACACCTGTCTAAACGCAGACTTTGTAAGGCTGTCTTTAATTAAAAAGAAAGACCAGTCACAACTCCCTCCCCCCAAAAACCAAACCAAAATCAAGATAATGGGCACAGAGCTTTTGGTAGTGTTTTATCTTGGCAGACAAATTGAGTATTGTGAGTGCTGAGTATGAGAGATAAGTAGTAAGGTTTATACCAGAACTTCTTAGGCTAGTTCTGGAAGTAGCTCTTAAAAACTTAAAAAATAAAAATGAAAAAAACCCTGCAGAATCTGTAGTAGTTTGCAAAATGTCAACCTCTTCTTTTTTTAATCTTTTTTAGAAGAATGATAAACTTGATAGTGACCTGAGTAGTCAATTTATTTTTTAGTGGCTTCTAATAGTGTATGTGTAATAAATGGACATAAAAAATGATTATGGAATTTGTCAATTTAATTTTTTAAATTGTTTTAAAATTGGCCATATAAACCATTAATACTAATACCTGTTAAATACAATGTCTTTTTTTTTTTTTTTTCTTTTTAGGGAACAAATAAAGAGAGTTAAAGACTCTGAAGATGTCCCCATGGTGCTAGTAGGAAACAAATGTGATTTGCCTTCCAGAACAGTAGACACAAAACAAGCTCAGGATTTAGCAAGAAGTTATGGAATTCCTTTCATTGAAACATCAGCAAAGACAAGACAGGTAAAGGTCAAAACTTGCCAGATGCAAAAGCAGAGCTCTCATCTGAATTACCATCATGTTAATTATTCTCTAGGCAATTCTCTTTGACAATTGCATGGTCATGTCAATGGATATATTTCTCCAGATTGGAAATCCTTGTGGTGTCTCTTCTTTCTGTCAACTGGTAATTGTTTATTGATGAGTGATTGGCTTCAACTGCTCAAGCTCAGAGTCAGACCTGACCTGCTATTGCTCTCCTCTCTCGGGTGGTTGCAGCATTCTGAGTGTTCTGGTAGGTTTTAACAGAATAAAAGCACTTCTGCTCAGAGGTGAAATGCTTTTTTTTCCTCAGCAAGAGGATTAAACAGACAAACAGCTAATTAGTTTATTCTGGTTTAAGTGTTCTCATTAATAACAAAAGGAGTTTTTCCATGAGGCATTGATTCTATGATTAGATATGCTTGATATACGTTTTTATAGCTAAGCAATTGACCATAAGGCTTTTTTTTTTAATTACTGGATTAATTGTTTGTGTAAACCAATATTTTCCCTTTAGACTTTAGAGCTCACTGTTGGTTCATTGTACCCCTCTGGTACAATAAACTGATCCTTTCAGTGCTGTCAGGGTTTGTGAGGACAAAGGTGGTATCTCTGTGCACTCAGGAGAAAAGAAACTAAGCAGATAGAGATGGAACTGGTTCAGTACTTCTGGAAGAAAGCAAATGCTGATATGTGGTTTTTCTTTTAAAAGTGTAAAGATTTACTATCAGGACATATTAGATGAGGCCTGAGTGGCCAAGTAGCTCGTGCTCTCTGCATAATCAGAGGTGTTATGTGCAAGCTCAGAGTCAGGAATCAGGTGTAGCAGAAAATAAGAGCAGAATGCTGCAGTTTAAGCAACTGCTCAGTGCAATTGCTAATCAGGTTCAGCTACATCACTTGGCAGAATGTCCTCATAGACAGTATCTTAAGTTATTTTTGGATCTGAGAAGTGAATATTTTATTAGTGCAAATTTGCTATACCCACCTAAGTTTTTTGACAAGTTGAAACTTGGACTAATTAGTAAAACCTTACAAAGGAACTCTAACTTTTGGCAACAGAGGAAGTCTCTGTTAGGTAGAATTAAAAAAAAAACAAGGCAGAAGTACAGAACTTTATTGGCTGAGAATAAATAAGGCCACAAAAGTGTCCTGAAGAATGATATATAAGTGAACTGAATAATTACAGTGTCCTTATTTGGAAGGTCCTGTGTTAGTGTCTGGCATGAAGATGGAAGGGGGAAAAAATAACTCTGAAATTACATTTGAGGCTTGAAATAATGGAATTTCTGTATTAACATCTAGACTTTACTTTGTTCTGTCTGTTTTATAGACCGTCAGGCTTTGGGGAAATAATCTTTTGGCATAGCCACTTTTATTAAAAGTATGTTGACAGGATGGTGTATTTTCCAAGATTTCTTTCTCCCCAGCCCACTTGCATTTACTCCTACAAGCAGCCCTACCATGCCTGGCCAATAAAAAATCACAGGCTCAAAAACCACCTCTCCTGTTCAGCATTATAATCTGGTTTTTACATAAAGCAGCACGTGCTCTTTAGTGTTTCAGACTTCCAAGAGGTCTGACAGAGGTTTGTACTTGTTTCAGAGGACACGAGATCAGTCAGACATGAACTGTCATCCTGTAATTTCACTTTTGTCTGTGATTTTACATTTCTGGAGGTGCCAATTGAAATGCTGTGGGAAAGATCTGACTGTTGGCTTTTGTTTTTTCAAAGCTCAGCTTTACACGCTCTACAGATAAGGAGCCCCTAAAGGCATCTCATGGATATTTTAAAATAAAGATGCCCAACAGCCTCTTTTGGGCATGTTGGCTTCTAAAAGTTGGCACCACTGGCTGCTGGTTCTTCCCCAGTGCTCTTCATAATATGTTGTGTTATGAAACTGCTTCATAACATGCTGTGTTAATAAAATATTTTTGAGAAGACAAAAGGGAATTGGAAGAAGAACCTGATCTTTAATTATAGCAAGATCATCTAAATATTAGTGTATGTGATTATATATATATGTGTGTGTGTGTATACACTGCATGTACATATAATTTTTCAGTCACATTGTCATGTGTAAAAGAAATAATATATATATATAAAAATATATATATATAAAAACACACATATGTTCTTCCAAAGCAGTTTTACATTAGAGGATTCAAACCATGGTGTGAGCTGCATGTGGCCCGTGAAATATAGTTTTGTTCAGTCTTTGTCTAAAACTGAATATAAGTAAAAATCTGAAGGCATTGTATGCTCACGCAGAATGAGGGCTCAGTTCCATCTAAGTCAGTTTTTAAGATCTTCAGAAATTCATAGGCAAAGTCAGAAATAGGAAAGAGAAAAGCACAGAAATGAAGTGCACAGATAAGCTGTTCTTAAAGTTAGTGTGTTTGTTTGGTTCTGACAATAAAGATGCAAACTTTAATTTACTGCAAAAAGATTTGTGTTTTACACCAAATACCTGTGTGAATTTTCATATAAATCATTGAGTTCATCAGTGAAACATCGGCCTAGTGGATCCTACAGCTTGGCTACAGGGCTATAGATTATTAATTTCTTTAGTTAGACCACTGACTGAAATGAATACAATGTAATTTATGAAAAAGAGTGACAGTCCTGTTTCTGAATATAAACACATGGCAATACTGGTGGTTTTGTAAGGCAGCAAGACTGTGGGACTTTGTTTCCCTTGGAACACTTCAACTTTCCCGCTGGTGTTGAATTCAAAGGAAAAGCAGAGAAATGACATTATTGTAAGCATAGTAAAGGGTTTGCCAAAGCATTATGTCTTGTGGTCGAGAATGTGGACTTAAACACACTTTTGAAGCGTGTAATGAAGAAGTTGACCTAAATCACAAGGATGCTGTTAAAAAAGAATTTGAGTTATTTCAGCTGTCTGGTGTACAATGGGTTAGGCCACAACCTTGTGATGAAAGGAAGCTGAGAACCTGTGTCTGGTCTGATGAAGTAACAGGGGCAGTATTTGCAGAAATTCATTCCTACATCTCAGCTAAAATTCAGGGATAACTGGTAACTTGCTTTGCTTGAACCATTTTGTAGGGATTTGCCATATCTGTTTAATGACGTTTCACACCAAGCCATTTTTAATTGAGTTCCTGGGTGCAGGTTTCATCTTAAAACTTCATTTTCAATCAGTTTTAACTCAGTCACACTTGACTCTGTGGGTTCAGTTTTTTCATGTCACTTGTCTCGTGTGAGGTTCAGCTTTCCTGAAAAAGCTTAAATCCTTCCCAGAAACAAGGCCCCAAGGAAGGAAAAAGTTTTGGTAATGGTGACACATATTCTGGCCTCCAGCTTGTGAGTGACTCCAGGATGCTGAGGAACCAGGTTGTTATTTATCTCGTGTAAATATAAAGGTCTGCAGCACAAAGACACGTGCAGAATGGATAATTTTAATTTTATTTGTCCAACAGTTGCTTTTAGAAGACCCACCTGTGATAAAGGGTATAAAGGTGGGCACAGGACACTTTTGAGGTGTCGAGGTTAACTTCTAGTAGTTCCTTTTAAGTGCTGTTTAGAGAAGCAGAACATGTGAAAATTCGTGTTTGTACTTTGATCTGTATTTGAAACAGCCTTTCTTTGCACATAGTCATATTTTAAATCGAGTGTTTGGCTGTCATTCAGGAGTCAGAAGCATCTTGAAAATGTTGCCTCAAGGTCATGGGTTCTTTGGGCTGTAAGTTTTTAATAACTGCCAAGGGGTATTTTTGCTTCTAGTTCTGACAGCTAAAAGAACTGCCTAATCTATTTTATATACATGGTCATTGCTCACTAAAGGAAAATGTACTAAAGAATCTTAGAAGCAACTGGTATTAAAATGATCTAAGTTTGCAAGGCTGGCACCTGGCTCTCTAAAATGTCACCTTGTGCTAATGGAATTAGCAAATAAGTGTCTGTACAGATTTTTCATCAGACTGTTCTTGGTGGTGGCAGCAATAGCAATTTCTTTTCTCACTCTGCATCTCTCCGTCTCTCTGCATTGCTAAAGCAAATTACAGCTCATATTGGTGATGGGAAAGTTGGCAATAAATGTTGACTGAAGAATTGTTACCTAATTATTCACGTGAAAGCTCCATAATCAAATTACACATTGCTACTGCAAAACAGTAGATGTGCAAAAACGTTGATTCTTGTGTAGCCTGTGCTTTGGCACGTAGCAGCTGATCAATGATTCCTGTCTCCACTTCAGGAAGAAACTTCCATTCCTTCCAGAAAAACATGAAAGTATGAGCTTTACTTGGGTTTTGCCATTTTTTTATAATGGCTCTCAGACCTGGAATGCAAGACTTGTCGCCTTGTCCGTACTTCTCCACATCCTAACAGGGCACATTATGTACATACAGAGAAATACAACCCACTAAATAAATCTAATTAATTTAAATCTTCAAATCTGTAGTGCAGAAGAACCTTCAGATGAGTAGCAGTATGTTAAGAATGACTCTTCATGAATGACACAGGTCATGCAAAATGACCCAGTGACTGTGGCAGTAAATGGTAGCTGGTTTTTATTATTAGCTGCATAATATGAAGATGAATTGGAGAGATAATTTGGGGAGAATATGCCAAATAAAAGCCCACATTGTGCACTGGGTAGTAATAAAGTTTGGGGGCTTGAATGGTGGTGCTCTTTTCCACGATCATCAGTCTGCTCTGGGTTTATTTTCAGATGATGAGTTTGTATTAAATTAAGAACCTTGTTGATCTGATTGAGGAGACAAGTAGTGAGATGGATAGTAAGGCAGAGGAGACACTTGTTCTCCCCTTGAAAAGCTGCAGCAAAACATTTTGCATCTTGTTATAACAACAGGAACATCTTCACAGATTCATCTAAATTTTTCAATTTATGCACAGTTTAAAATAACAGATATTATAACTTAAAGTTGGTGCTGTACCTCTATATATCGTATTTGGTTAAAGACATCTTCAGTCTTTATACTTTTTAGTTGAAAATTAGTTAGAATCTTCCTTAGATTAGAAGTTAGTTAGAAGTTTTATTTCTTCGTAACCTCTTGGGAAATTACCCTGTGAGACTTTTTCTATACTCTGTTAGTTTGTTACACAGATTTTTGTGAAGAAAATCCGCCTTCTTTTATAAAAACCAGACCATAAACAAGCTAACTTTTCTTTTCCCAAACAGTAATAAGTTCTCACTTTGGCTAAGAAGTGCAAGTTAGGTGGTGAACTGTGTGTGTTTGTTAAGTACCCCCCAGTTAACAATCTAATAAGGTTTTGTGCCTCCTAAATACATTCATAGCCACAGAAATATGGGAAATTATTCAATAACACAAGCAGTATTATTTTCAGTGTGGTATGCAATGGAAGAAAATAAGTCTTAATCTTTTTTTGGCCAAGTATTACCATGCACAGAAAAAAAGGGGAGCTTGAAGCATAGATATGCACAATAATGGGTCTCCTCTGCTTGCATTAAAAAGTATTTATCCAGCAGCAAATGAGCAAGCTCAGCATTTTGAATACATAAACAAAGATCCATACACTTCTCTCAAGTAAAGCTCATCATTTCAGTGGGTTTGTTGCATTTTTTTTCCCCCCTTCCACGGGTGTCCCAGCGTGTCTGAGTTATTAATGAAGTGGTTTTTTAAGGAGTTGTGTTTTACAATGCAGAGAGTGGAGGATGCTTTTTATACATTGGTGCGAGAGATCCGACAGTACAGAGTGAAAAAAATCAGCAAAGAAGAAAAGACTCCAGGGTGCATGAAAATTAAAAAATGCCTTGTAATGTGACAGGGTAAGTTTTGTAGTGTAACAGGGTAAGTGGAACTAATCACTTGCCAAATAAGAATGATTGATTGTGCCGTGCAAATCAGACATTCTGTGGTTAATTATGATGTAATGTAAGATATAAAATCAATCAGATCTCAGTGTCCTCAATAATATTCCTGGCAAACACCCAGGTGCTATGGATTTGCTTTGTTTCCTGGGGTTTTGATAAGTGGATTAACACAATATATCGAATTCTCCATCTGTGACATGGAGACCTGGTTTTGAGTCTGAAGAAGCTGAGGGGGAAAAGTTTTATTAGAAATATATTGCAGATGCTGTTCAAGTGAATACTGATTGATTCTTCAGGTTGATGAACTGAGGGGAGAAGATCATACAGTTCTCAGATGCAGAATTAGGAGGTTCCTAATCCAGCAAGAAATATTTGGCTGGTGTACAGGTTTTCCTAGTTCTCAGGCCCTTCCTTATGCCATGCCATTTTTTCCTTGTTTTTTTTTCCCCAGCTTAAAAAATTTACTTTTACCATTTCCAGAAATACATTAGTTTTCTTTTATTTTGGTCAACTGTAATGTCCTGAGTGATGCAGATTTGGAAAAAATAAGGTTTCACCTTTTTTCTTTGAGAGCCCATACAAGCGGGTAAGGGCTAAATTTCCCATTGTGTAAAAGAAAAACTATTCCCTTTTCAAGGTGTGTTTTCATACAGTGATCTAGTGGAATTTGACTTGTATCTTTTGTCAGCAATGAATATTGTTGAGTTTGTGGTGTTTGTTGTTGGGGTTTTTTTTCCTCTACTTATTTAGAAAACAGTCTTGGATATAAGATTCCAGAACCTCAAGAGTCTGCTCAGGGAAGGAAATGTTTGCCTTTATCCTCTAGGTGGTATAGACAGTCATTCCAGCAACTCTGTATTTAGGAAGTTATGGTGGAGAAAGTGTTATCCAAAATTGTTATGGTACAGATGCAGTTCAGTGGAGATTTGAGTGGAATAAGAAATCTGGCATTTAGAACAGCGTTCTGTGAATAATCAAATTGGATGGTTCAGAGTGTTTTGCTCCTCTTGGAATAGAGTTGGACTCTGATCCTTGTGGATTCCTTCTAACTCCAGAGTATTCTGTGATTGTTTTGTCTTCTCGCTACCTCCAGGATGCCTTCTTAGTTATGTTAGTCTTGGTAATATACTGAATTACAAGGTAACTGAAAACTTTGACTACCCAGGTTGCCATTAAGCTGATGCTTTCCAAGAGTTTCGTTCCTTTGACTGTTACACAGTAAAGCAGAAAGTACAGAACATCTTTTTCTCCATCTGTGATTTTTCAACCAGCAAGAGGAAAGTTCTGTAACTCAGTGTAAAATCCTCAAAAGAGCTCTTTCTTGAAAGCATCAAAGTTTGTACATAAAAAGCAGACTGGTTTCTCCAGGGTGTAAATTAGACATCCAGATAATGTCATTCAGATTTGAGCGCAGTTAATAGTGGAGAGTTTGAATTACAAAAGTTCTAGATTTGAATTTAAAAATGTCTAGATTCTTGATTAAAATTGTAATTAAGTGATTTCTCCATAGTAATACAGAGGGGTACAAATAATTTCCTCATTACTGATACATGTGTGTATGTATGTATTATATATAAAAAAATTACAAAAAAACCCTACAATTTAAGACTTGTTTAAGGGTTTGTTTTTGGGGCTGGGGTATTAAGGAATTCTGAATTCTTTATGAATTTGGTGTTTCTTATTGATAGTTCTTATAGATAGTAACCATATAAGCACATCTCCAGACTTCTCCACAGTCATGGGACCATGCAGTGCTCCAAAGAAAAGCTGTAGCCAGGAGCAGGCTGTTCTGTGGGAACAGTTCTGACATTTTTGTTCCCCTTGCCTTTCTTAGTTGCCCTTTGGAAAAACAAATGGCAGGAGCAAATTCTCTCAATGCACCTTTATTGAGGCAGTGAGGTTTAGTTCTGAGCCTGCATGGGGAATTGTGAGTTTCTAATCTGAGCCTGGATTTAAAGCACTCATTCAGTACATCTTAACTTTCCAAAAAGCTTGCACACAATAACTCCATTGTTAGGGGGAGGAAGGTCAGCTGCCTGCAGCCCCTTCCTGCTCAAAGAGCTGCCTGGAAAGGTTTGACTGCCTTTGATCTCACACCATCGATGCCTTCAGGGACCTTCTGTAAACAGAGTATCCACTCCTTACATTTAAAATTTAATGGACAGGCTGGGAAGTGAAAGACCTCACTTGATCTCGAGTTCTCCACTTGTAACTCACAAGTGTTCTGAACAGTAGTTTTGTGTGTCATGTTGGATTAATTACCTGAATTGAAGGTGAATTGTGGCAGGGCCAGACTACTAAGTACATCATCAATAATTAGTGATTTACAAAGGTGTTAATGCCAGGATGAAAGCTGAGTCAATTCTGCAGCCTGGTTTAGGGAAAGCTGTCCCTGCCCACCACAGGATCGCTGAAGATCACTGGCTGATCTTTAAGGTTCCTTCCAACCCAAACCATTCTATGATTCTGTTTTGCAGCATATGCTTTGAAAGATCATCATCTTGGTAGAATAAAAATTTCAACCTTGATGATGAAGTCATGTGTTTACAGGTCCGTAATAATATCTGGATGTTACTTTGTACAAGTTATTTTCTCTGCATTTATTTTAAAACCAGTTTAGTGAGGAAGAAGGGTTGCTCATTTGAAGACTTAATTTGCAGTTTTTAAGTGTGTCTCATTTGAAGACACCACTGAAAGCAAACGAGCTGAAGACACCAAGTGAAAGCCAGTTCTGAGTGATGGTTCTGGAAGGACATGTAGAAGAACATTGTGCAGATGTTTTTCTTATACCATTCTTGTGTTCTAAGGAGGAAACCATTCTTCTCTCTGTTGTGATTGATTCTTAATGCTGTCCTTCTCCTTCTTAATACCAAGACCTGCACTAGAATCACTTTGAACTACACCATTTCCCTACATGAATGTTGCTAAATATTCACTTTGTGCAGTAATGCTGAAGATATAAGCAAATAGCTCTCTGTAAAATAACACCAGGCGTTTTTTAATTCTCAAAGGATTAATGGAGGACATGACCTGCATTCATTTTATATTGGTCAGTAATACCTCAGAATGTAGAACAGGTTATTTGCAAAGTCTTGCAATATAAAAAAGGGTGCTATTAATATTGGGAGATAGACTGCCAAAGACTTTGAACATCAGTTACATGTAAATGTTTCATGAACTTGAAAGTTTTAATTAAATTTAGCTTATACTGGAAGTGTTGCTTTTTGAGTGAAGCTGTCTCACACCTCACTGTTGTTTGGACTTCTCATATTAAATTTTAGCACCACTTGGTGTTTGGCTGAAACAGTGAATTAGGAGATTTCTGGCTTCTGTTGTGTGTTTTTCAGAGTTCACTTTCAGTTCTTTACTGAAGTAGGCATAGAGGAGTAAAACAGAACGTTCATTTTTATTGGCAGCTTGAAGGGAAACTATTTGGCTGACAAGAGGTAGGAAGCTGCCTGCCAGTTTTAGGGCTGAATTTCTAGACCCAGTTCTGCAGTGGTGCATTTGGCTGCTGAGATCCAGTAACATTATCCAGCTATTTCTGATCCCTCTAAAAGATAACACAAGGAGTAAGGCAGCAAAGAATCAAGGAATTTTTTTATCTTTGGGATTTTATGACTGCTTTACTTGAATTATTAAAGGTAATATTTATTGGGATTTGAAGCAGCCTGAAAGCTAGGCCATAAATTGTTGGAGGTAAATAGGTTCTTATATAACATTGTACTTGATAATGGTTCATATCAGGCTCTTGGATATACTACTCTCTTTTCACCAGTTCAATTTTTTCAGCTATAATTAGCCCCTAAAATAATGAAAAACTACTCCATATGAACAAACATTAGCTTTTGTGTCTGTAGCTGAAGTATTGGAGCCATGGAAATTTTCAGTGACTGTTCATGATACAGCACCAGAGATAATGTGTTCCACGTGCCTTTAACTATACAGGTTGAATAGACTGATTGATCAGGTCATTATTTATCACTGGGACGTGGCATTGATTTGAATGATTCGCATATGTAAAGATTTGTAAAATTGTGGTGTGATTACTTTATCAGTGTGCCTGAGAAATGATTTGAATATGCATATTAACCATAACTGTGTCTTTGGTGTTGAATTATTGGTACAAATACTTGAATTTCCTTTTCCGAGCTCCATAGAGATTATTAAGGCATAAACTAAAGTAGCTGATGCTTCACAACTTCCCTGTGAGGGTGGGGAGGCCCTGGCACAGGTTGCCTAGAGAAGCTGTGGCTGCCCCATCCCTGGAAGTGTTCAAGGCCAGGGTGGATGGGGCTCTGAGCAACCTGGGATAGTGGAAGGTGTCCCTGCCCATGGCAGGGGGTTGGAATGAGGTGATCTTTAAGGTCTCTTCCAACCCAAACCATNTCACAACTTCCCTGTGAGGGTGGGGAGGCCCTGGCACAGGTTGCCCAGAGAAGCTGTGGCTGCCCCATCCCTGGAAGTGTCCAAGGCCAGGGTGGATGGGGCTCTGAGCAACCTGGGATAGTGGAAGGTGTCCCTGCCCATGGCAGGGGGTTGGAATGAGGTGATCTTTAAGGTCTCTTCCAACCCAAACCATTCTGTGATTCTATGATAATATATAATCTAAATGTGTGGTACTATCTATCTGTATACACACTATATATACACTAAAGTTTTCTAGCTTGAGGTGGGACAACATGTGCCCTCTTCAAGATGGAGAAGAGGGCAGTGCACACTATAGTACTTTCCTTACCACATAAATAGTGGAATTTGACATGTGCTAGCCCTGAGCAGGAATTCACCTGCAAGATGCCCTAAGCCCAGAACTCAGGAGAGGAACAGCCTGTAGTCAAGATTAATTGTTCAAAGGATGGCAGGCAGCAAAACAGCTGCTGATTGAACCCACTTCACCTGGCCAGGACAGGTGGACATAGGCTGTAAGTGTTGATCTGATCCTAATGTGTCCATGTTTGTATCTTTTCAGGGTGTTGATGATGCCTTCTACACATTAGTCCGAGAAATCAGAAAACACAAAGAGAAGATGAGCAAAGATGGTAAAAAGAAGAAAAAGAAGACAAAGACAAAGTGTATAATTATGTAAATACAATTTATCCTTAAGAAGTACTGAAGTAATTTTGTACATTACACTAAATTATTAGCATTTGTTTTAGCATTACTTTACTTTCTGCTTCATGATCCTGTTAGCTTTACCTGAATGCTTGTTTTAAATGACAGTGGAAACTTCATTCCTCTTAAAAGTGCCAGTATTCTTTGACTGTTGGTTCTTGAACTAGCAATGCCTGTGAAAAAAACAAACAAAAAACAGAAAACAAACATTAAAAACCACACACAAAAACCTGAGAACTGTCTTAGGACTCTTTGGTGCATGCACAGTTGCTAACTTCCTGTTTTTCTTACTGATTGTGAACTTCTGTGTGCAAAGCAAACAATGAAATGATGCTCTACACATTCTGACATCCCCTATAAATTTGTTGGGTTTATAAATCCAGTTGGGAAAAAGGACTAGTTAGCAAGAGACTCTCATTTCAGCCTTTCCTTTACTTTAGACTGATTATTGCAATAGAGAGAGACCAGAAGCCTTTATAGTCTTCCTGTAGATTTTGCTTCTAGGCATCTAGTCTTGTAGCATTTCAGATCAACTTTAATGAATGTAAAGATAAAAACTTTCAGAAAAAAAAAAGTTTCACTGCAATTTGTCACGGTCACTCCTTAAAGACTCTATTTTTTCTATAAAAAAACAAAGAAAAAAGTAAAAAAAAGATGACAATGCACATCTGGCAATGGAAAAAGTAAAAGTTCTAATTAGGTTGATTTGCTCTTGTTAATGCATTGCTTTAAGACCTTCACTGACTTTTTGTGTCTGAAGATCAAGGTGAAATCCCCCCCAGCATCAAACCTTTAAGTAGCTTTGTTCAGTAGGTGCAGGATTTCACCCTTAGTGTCTCTAGGAAATACTAAAAAGCCTTAACAGATAAGTTGATTCAGATTCTTAGGTTAATTCATACATGGACCTAGAATTTACCGTAAGAATTAAATCAGAATTAATCCTAAATTATATAGTGGAGTAAAACCATTATTTTCCCCCCCCCCAAGAGTGGCATTAAATATTTCCAGATGCCCAAGTTCTGTGCAAAATAGGGGAGAAATCTTAAATTCTGGTAACATCAAATGAGTGAATGAATGAGTTGAATTTAGCTGCTTCATGCAAATAATTTGGGAATCCACTATTCCATAGAAATGGTGTGGAATTTGCACAAACTGTCAGCATGGTTTCCAGCGTCAGTGTTGTTTGTGTGATGTCCGTGAAGTACTAGTTTTGTTGCACAGATTTAATGGTTGGTGAGTGGCATTCCAGTGTCTATCATGAAGCTAGGCCAAGATTTTAATGTTGTCTTTCTCTGTGATTAAGTTCTCTTGTGATTTTGTTTTCCCTTCCCCCTCTTTTTTTTTGTTTTGTTTTGTTTTCTGATTGGAATTAATGCAGGATTTTTGCAGGAGCTTTCAGTTTTTGGTACTGCAGTAGCCTAGTTATTCTGCACTGAAGCACGAGCCAGTAGTCCCAGTGTTGCCAGTTCCTGTTGTCTCACTGTAAATGTGGAGTTTGTTCCATTAGAGCTTTGGTCCCTGAAGGGTTCACTTCATAGTAGCCAAACTCAGCTGCAGAGGAACATTTGAAGATGTGGCTCTGGTGTACCCAATAATAAGACACAAGACGTCGAAGTAGGATAGTTCAGGACACTGGACTGGAAAGCTGGGAACAGGGAAGAGCAGCATTGCCCTGAGGTACACCTAAACAATTCCATGGAAATTTTACACAGGTATGTAAAAATTGCACTGTGTAACTTGGACCATTTCTGTGATGCCAAAGGTGCAGCTGCCTGAGAAAAGTATTATTTTGCTTCTACAAAAAAAAATAATCCCAGATTGACTGTTGGAGGTGGAGAGCTGCAAAGCTGGCAGGGAACACATCCTGTATGTTCTTTAATTTCCATGTGGCTGAGGGAAATCATGCCTTTCCCTGTGCCCCCCATTCCCCACCTTTCACCAAAACCCAAAACCCTCTTCCCTCCTTTCAGCTTCGATGTGAAATGTAGATAATGAAATATTCTGAAAAACAGCAACAGGAGAACCTAATGTTATATTGTAAGGACCAATAAGAACAGATTCTTGATGTCACAAAGTATTTCAGAGCTTCCAGGGTTAAAATGTGTTGGAGACAGTTATTTGCACATTTTAGGCACTCTTGACTATACATGGAGAACGTAGCAAAAGTTGACAGTATGCCTTGAGCAAATGGAAGTAATCTTAAGGTTGCTTTAATTTTGGTAACTGAGTCACACTGCATGTAAAATTAGGGCTGGTCTAAAATTCTGACGTTCATTTAACTAAATACTGTTAGGAAATTGTAGCTGAAATGTCTTATTCATCAAATGTGGATTTATATAGCTGTACTATAAGGCTATATGTAGGCTAGTGTTGAGGTTTTGTTCAGCAAATGTGATCTGTAGCTGCCAGTCTGATTAAATTAGTACAAAATCCATTTAGATTAGCCCTTATTTACTAAAAAAAAAAAACAACAACCAACCCCAAACCACATCCTTGCTGCCGTTGTGCAGTTTTGTCTTAGTATTTGTTGCAATTTGGTGAAGCAGGTTGGACTGCAGCTTGCACAAGTTGATCCCTTCCTTATTGTCTTATTACCTGAGATGCTATCCCAGAACATCCCTGGGTGCTTGTCTGTCCTGAGAGCAACTACTGAATGACCCTGTGAGTCACTGACCACGTTAGCACGTGGAACTGCCATGTGTCAGGGAGTAACACCTTCTTACGGTAGCTTTATGTAACCCTGCTAAACACCTGTATCATTGGTTGGCTCCAAACTCAATTATTCTGACCAGTTTCATTGCCCTAAACTTTTTTGCTAACTGAGAAGTGTGGACTTGGTCACAGTAACAGGATCTCTGAAATGGGTAAATACTGACACACACAATCTTCTGCTCTTGTCTATACTATGAAGCAATACAATTATTACCTTCAAAGACCATCAAACTGTAAAACAAATCATTTTGTCTCAAGTTTACATAAAGCTACATAGATGGTAAATCTTTCCTAACATTTCTTTATTCCACTGTCTTGTTGTTTTCATGTTGAAAATACTTCTGCTTTTTCCTCTTGAGTGCCAACTTCTTACTAGAATGACTTCTTAATGTAATATGTTTACCTGGAATGTATTTTAACTATTTTTGTATAGTGTAAACTGAAACATGCACATTTTGTACATTGTGCTTTATTTGATGTGGAACATATGCAGTGTGATCCAGTTTTTCCATAATTTGGTTGTGTGACCTCGGAATGTTGGTCATGCCAGACATTAAGTTAAAAAAAAGGAAAAAAAAAAAAGACCACTGTTTGTTTTAAAATTTTTAATGTTTTTAGGAGTATGTGCTGTGAGGTGATCTGGAATTTGTCATTTTTTTGTCAAACTGTACTGCTCCTATTTATTGTAATGTAATAAAAAATAGTTATTGTGAGTTTCTGTCCCAGCTTCCTTTTTCTCTGCAAGAATTTCGGTGCCTCATCTCGGTAATGGTGCATTCCACGAACTGTGTTTGGCAGTTGTTCTCCCTTTATGTCTTGCATTTCTTCGGGTGCTACCTGTCCCAAAGCTGCTGTCCCTGCCCCTGGGTGTTCCCTGCCTCTCCCAGGGAAGGTGTAACTGCATCTTTATTTCTGAGGAGCTCATTTGATGTGCAAGGGCTGTTTTTCACATCAGTGTGGCACTAGAAACTGAAGCCCAGTCTTGTCACAAGGCAGTGTACCCTGCCGTTGTTTTTTAAATTGTCTTCCAGGATTTTGTGTGTGTAGTGAATTTTGTGTGGTAGTGAATCCCTCCCACTGCCTCCTCCTCAGGCGTGATCTCAGCAATGCTCGTTAGGCCTTGATAAGGAGTGCTTGGGCTGAGCTCCTCCTGAGCTTACCAGGAACACTGTTCCCAGCTGTCTTAGCGAGCTCCTGGTTTTTAACCAGCCTTGGAAACATCCCAAGTGGAGCAACATTTCTGTTATCAAGCTTTCAAAGAAAGTTACCAACCTGAATTGTGGTCAGGATGGAAAATTACTGTGACTAAATCCAGCTCTCTTGTGGATCTGTAAGCAGCAGACCCTCGGAGCTCTCCTGGAACACACCAGCACCTCCCTCTGAGTGGGGCCTTCCAGAGCCAGTGAACTCTCCAATTTGGAGGAGCAATAGCACTGAATTCCAGGGGAATTTTGCACAGGTATATACTTCCTACATACTCCTTTAGGTCTGTGTGAGTGTGGATATCCTACAGCAAATGTACCGTGAATATTCTCTCCTAAATTTTTAAGTACTTTATTTGTAAATAAATAAAATAAGCCTGTGTTGTGCTTACAGTAAATTCTGTGTGAGCCTTCTGTTAAATTGTTTAAATCAAGCTATCAATTCAGTGCTGTTAAGCTTAAGTGTTAAGTTTAGGCCTAAACCATTGATCAAGTGCAGAGCTAATTCTGGCAAGGGGGCCAGTCTGAACATTGTGACTCCACAGGAGGATCTCCCTTATTCCTTTTATTCTTACCCTTTCCCATCCTCAACCTCCACATAGATAATTTTTCATTGATTTTAGGTTTAGATTGATTACTTTTAGACTTCAGTTTCCTTTTTCTCTCTGTGCTTTAACCACTTAGTGAGTAGTAGAGTGAATTTCGCCAGTGGACTTTGTCACGCTTTTATATTAAACCTGTGTCCACGGTTCTTTCAGTGACCCTAAAATACTTATTTGTGACAGTGTGAAGACTTGCTACTGCCAACAGCTCTGCTGCAGGGATTCCTTACCTATGTTTCAAAGATTATTTCTATCTCCAGCGTTGTTTAGTTGGTGGAAACACCAACCAACCCTACAATGTACAGAGTATCAGATCTGGCACAAGTCTGTGTGAGTCGAGCCAAGGCCTGCAGAGATACCCTGGAGCAAACAGCCATGGCCAAACTTCTCTTCCCAGGGCAAAGATCAAGTTATCCATTCCTGCTGCAGCAGTGACACAACACCAGAAATCAGCAGTAGCAGAAATTGCCTTCAGGGCCCAAGTGCTTAAACCACTGTTGTTCAAACTCACCCCTTTCCTGACCCCAAAGTCGTCCTCCTAACACAGGAAGGTGGTGCCTCTGCAAGTGAAGCAGATGAGGTTAAAAGCTTTAAGAACTGACTTTCAGAGAATCACAGAATTGTCGGGGTTGGAAGGGACCTCTGGAGATCCTCCATTCCAACCCCCCACCAAGGCAGGGTCACCTGGAGCAGGGGACACAGGAACGCGTCCGGCTGGGTTTGGAATATCTCCAGAGAGGGAGACTCCACACCCTCCCTGGGCAGCTGTTCCAGGGCTCTGCCACCCTCAGTGCAAAGTTCTTCCTCATGCTGAAGTGGAACTTTTTGTGTTTTAGTTTATGACCATTGCTCCTCATCCTGTCACTGGGCACCACTGAGAAGAATCTGGTACCATCCTCTGACATTCACCTCAGAGATCTTTATATGCACTGTTGAGATCCCCCTCCATCTTCTCCAGAATAAACAGGCCCAGCTCCCTCAGTTTCCCCTCATAAGACACACTCCAGACCCCTAAATATCTTTGTGGCCTCCACTGGACCCTCTCCAGTAGCTCCTTGTCTGTCTTGAACTACGGAGACAGAACTGAACATGATTCTCCAAATGTGGCCTCACCAGGGCTGAGTGGAGAACTTTACTTTGGAGAAGGTGAGTGGAAATCAATCATTTAATGCAGAGGACTTTCAGGTTAAGCTTCCAAGTAACAAGCATTAGCACTTTGAACTGACATTTAAACACAGTTATGGGGTAAGAAGAGCTTCTGTTAAAGATATATTTTGAAGTGAAACAGAACAGAGCTGTGCAACCACTCCTTCCTGCAAAGTCGTTTCACACCTGAAGTTTTAGTGAAAACACAACCCAAGCGGCTGCTGGAGGGGAAGCAAAGTCCTAATTTGTACCTTAGAGGGGTTGGAAGGATTTACATTTCGTTTCTTTTGAGGTTACATCTCCTTTATTGTCAGTTTTCGTGGATGTGCTCGTTGCATGCACAGTCACTGGTTGTCATCGCTGTAGTAGCGCTGTTTCATGGCTCGGTATTTCCTCAGGAAGTACAAAGCCTCCAGCTCCTTTATAACAAATTCACCCCGTGCAATCAGTTGCTTAATCTTCTCAGGGTCTTTCTCATCCTTGTGTTTTAGGAAAGCTGCTTTCAAACGGCTTCTAAAGTAGTCTGCTCCTTTGGGATACTCCCTTCCAAGGTACAGCAGCTTGGAGGAAAAAAAAATAATGTGTTTTTAATAAACTGAGCATGCAGTGAAAGAGGTTCATTTTCTGGTTAAGGAAAGTGCTGGTGGCATTTAAGACACTTACATTTTTGTACAGTCTCACCACTTCACCTCTTAAAGAATTGGCCATTCTCACATTTCGGTGAACTCTTTAATCTTGTCTGATTTTTGGGTTTGTTTGGTTTTTTTACCTGAGGGATAATCAGTTGGACATTAGCCTTCCCTGGGAGTCAGCAAACCCCAGCCTCCTCCTCCCTAGGGCTCCCGTATCCTACTGAGCCCCCTTGGCTCTAACTACTTATTTTCTGGTTCTACTCGGTCTCTTCCATTTTTGGCTTCCTAATTTTTGTTCCATTTAGCTGCTCTTTCTCTTCTCCTCTCTCACCTCAAACAGAAAACAAGAAACTTCCAAAAACTTTCAACCACTGTGGCACTTCGTGCTGTTCATCAGCTGCTTTCTTACATCCTCACAGTCCCTCTACTTGCTGGCCTGGCAGCTTCTCTGTGGTCTGCTAAAGAACCATATCTTCATATACACAGTGCTAAATATATAAAAATATATTTATAATATCTATTTCTTAATATCAAATATATTATTAAATATAGTAACATTAGATGTATTTATATTGAATATATATTCTATATTATATTTAACAGTTATTATAATAGTCATTTATAATAATGGTTATTTGGATTTATGTATTTTATGTATTTGTGCATTTTTATGTAAGTCCATATATTTACATATTATAGATTCTATATTCATATATTGTATATTCATGTACATTTTGTATAGTTAATAAATTTGTACACTATATACTTACATACATACATATGTACATATATATACACACATACATACATGTGTAATGTATTCATATATAATACATATATTTATAAAATGCAAATACAAACATATATAATACATACATGTATAATAAATATATGCATATAATACATAAATATATTATATATATATATATAATACATAGATATATAATACATACATATATATGAATTCCTGTATATATATGTACAAATATACATATATATGAATTTCAGCAACTAATGCATTCCTAAATTTTGCTGTTTTTAAAACTGTTGAAGTGCATTACAAATTGAGGCCAGTTCACGCTGGCAAAACGTAAGGTAAAAAGACAAATAATGTGTTAGTAACAAAGTCGTTGTTTTTTATTTATGTAAACCCAGAACGGCCTGGGTTGGAGGGCACCTTAAAGCCCATCTCGTTCCAACCCCCTGCCACGGGCAGGGACACCCTCCACTACCCCAAGTTGCTCAGAGCCCCATCCGAGCTGTCCTTGGACACTTCCAGGGATCCAAAACCAAACGGGGCATCCCAAACCGAACCACAAACACGACCGGATTCCTGGATTCCAGCCCAGCCCCGGGGCCCGCGGGCCCCTCTTTCCGGGCCGTGCCCGGGGGCCGCCGTCTCCCCTTCGCTGCGCCCGCGATCCCGGCGCCTCCTGCCCCGCTCCCCCCGCAGCCGCTCCCGCTTCCCACCCCGACCCCAGGAAGGCCGGACCAGGGTCTCACCCGCTCCCGGTTCCCACCCCGACCCCGGGAAGGCCGGACCAGGGTCTCACCCGCTCCCGGACGGGGCCGTTCCCGGCCGGAGCCGCCGCCAGGCCGCGTCAGGCGGGGCCGCCCGGGCTGCGCATGAGCCGGGGGCGGAGCGGCCGGGGGAGAGCCGGGGAGCGGGACAGCCGGGGAGCGGGATCCGTCTGGGAGCGGGACAGCCGGGGAGCGGGATCCGGCTGGGAGAGGGATCCGGCTGGGAGCGGGCACCGAGGGATGGTGCGGCGGGGAGGGGAAGGGAAGGGAAGGGGGGTGCGGTGGGGAAGGGTCAGGTGGTGGGGATGAGGAAGGATTAGGTGGTGGGATGGGTCAGCGCTGGACCGAAGCGTTGCTCATCATCTGAACTACATGGAAAAATATATATATGAATATATATGAAAAAAAAAAAGATTTAAGATTGAAAAATACCGCTTGTTTTTTTCTGCAGTCCCCAGTCCCGTGCCGCGGTTTGTTGCCGTGGATTCTCGGTGTGAAACCCGGCCGGGAGGGACGGAGGGAGCTCGGGCTTTGTTGCCACAGCCGCTCCATGGTGACAAACTCCATCCCTAAGCGCAGCCTGCCTGCTCCTTCTTCCCCGTTTGTATTCCCGCCTGGGTAATTAATCGCCCTGCAGTTACCCGAATTCACGCGGCGGTGTTTGGGCGCTGCACAGGAGGGGTTAAGTTGTAGAGAAAGGATTTACTGCTGGATGTTCGGCTCTCTGGAATCTGTTCTCGTTTCCTTGTAGTTTTTTGGGGAAGTCCCCTAATTACGTTTCTCCGGGTGCAGTTCCCCAGCTGATGGCAGAAAACTCGGTGGTGGTTTTGTGACATTGCACGATGTGATTTAGTGTTATTTGGATTAGCACGCGGTGTCAGTCGATGAATTCAGAAAACACTGGAAAAGTATTTTACTAAACTATGTCCTACGCTAAAATACATATTTCATGTGCATTAGTTTTTTAACAGTGGGAATAAGTAAATACACTTCCTTAATCATAAGTGTAATTTAGCCTGATAAATTATGACGGTCTGTAGTCATGTGTTGGTGGCTAATTTTCTGCAGTATTGAAGTTATTGTCGTTACAGTTTTTCAATAGTTAACCTCACCTAATTTTACAGAATAGTTGTATTTTCTAATTATTTGTTTATAGTTGATGCCCTGTTCTCTGATGTTCACTTTACCTTTTTTTTTCCCCCTGATCTTTTAGGGTCCAAAATCGAAGAACAAGGTAGGTAGGCAGAAACATGCTCTAGTTCATTGGTGCATTTATTTTTTTAATCTGTTCTAGAACTGAGGGAGCTGGGGGGGCTCAGCCTGGAGAAAAGGAGGCTCAGGAGGGACCTTCTTGTTCTCTGCAATTCCCTGACAGGAGGTTGTAGCCAGGTGGGGGTCAGGCTCTGCTCCCAGGGAACAAGGGACAGGATGAGAGGAATTGGCCTCAGGCTGCACCAGGGAAGGTCTTCAGATCGGACATCAGGAGGAATTTCTTCACAGAGAGGGTGGTCAGGCCTTGGAAGGGGCTGCCCAGGGAGGTGGTGGAGTCCCCATCCCTGGAGGTGTCCAGGGAACAACTGGCTGTGGCACTCAGTGCTCTGGGCTGGGGGACAAGGTGGGCATCGGGCACAGGGGGGACTCACTGATCTTGCAGGTCTTTCCAACCTCAGTGATTCTGTGGTTCTGTGATTTGACCCACAGGCTGGACACAGAATATGGTGGGTGGAGGGACAACAGGCAGAAGTTCAGGGGAAACTGGACTGTATAAATTCATCCCATGGATTATTCTTAATTCAGTAATAATGAATTTATCCACCCCCCACCCCTCCCCATCTCAGTCGTGTCAGTGCTATGTTAAGTCATAAGAATGTGAAAAGAAATGGAGTAAAAAGTGACTACAAGTAATTGAAACTTACTTTCCCTTTTCACTGAAAGTAATCAAAGATTTATTTGTTTGTTTAAGTGAAAAAAAAAGAACTGATTCTTCCCTGAAATCTTAATGGGTAGAATTGTGGGGGTTACTGATTCTATTTCAGGATAATTTTGCAAAGAAATACTTTGGTAACAAATGTGATAAGATGCCCTCAAACTCTGGTGGTTATATGTGTGTTGTTGGCACTAAATTGTTGCCATTGTTTTTGTTCCAGCTTCATGATAACCTCTGTATTCAAAGTCACCCTTATCTATATATTTACTGCCACGCGAAGTAGTGTAAAGTGAAGAGCTTTCCACGTAGTTATTTATATCTGAAATCAGAATCAAAGTATGAAATAACAGTATATGTAACACACTTTGTGCGTGAAAAAGGATCAGGATGTATTTCCTTGGTGTATTTTTTTTCATCAATACCTTGCCTTTCAACCTGGGTTTAGGCTGCTGTCACTCTTAGGCTCCAGCATGTAGAGGAAACAATGCAGAATATCATGGTTTGTTTCCTCATGTGTACAAAAAAATAGCCTTATTTGCCCCACTCGTAAACAATAATGTTGGCTGGGAATTAATTTTGCAGTTTAGATCCAATTATCACATTTTTATGTGTATCATCTGTGAGAAATCTGTGAATGCTGTGAATTACAGGACAAAACCCAGTGTTCTATTTTGGTTCATCTGTTACATGACAGTAGATTTTGCATGTTACTTACCTTGTCTTTTATTTTTATAAACTATATACCCAGACCTCAAAGAATTGATACACTAATTTCTGAGAAATCTGGATTTAAAATACAGTTTTTCTAGGATTAGGCCAGAGGTTGAATTGTGGGCTGTCTGGAGTTGCTGTGAGGATTTTATAACAGAAAAGAGAACCCTTGCTACTTGTCTTTTGAATTAGATCCTTCTAAATGCCAGACTTGCCCCAAAATACATTTCCCAGTATTTCCTAAAATATTTTAAGTTATAACATCTACTTTCTTAGCCAGTCTACCTGTTATTCAATTTCTACATTAAAAACAATGTTCTCCTGTTTGTGGAAATGTTTGGGAATGTCTAGCATAGAATAATATATTAATTGTAAGAGCATATATTGCATCATGAAAATGAGAATAAAATTGAATCCAGAATTTTTATTGCCATTCTGGGGGTTTCATTCACTGTGCAGGGAGTCTAAAATATTAATTCAGGGATCACATTTGAAGGGCAAATTTATAGAGTTGTACACCTCTCAGAATATATTAAAATAACACTGACATTTGTTTTCTTCTAATTTACTGCAAACGTTAAGCCTGGTGGCAAAAAGGCTGAAAAGAAAGAAGAGGAAGTGAAGCTGAATGAGGGAGGTACTGTGCACTTCATTTATAGGGAATGTGATGGGCAAATCATTTATTTTAAAGAAATGTACAGAAAGTAATTTCTTGAGCTACATGTCAATTGATATTTGTGTTTCACAAACATGGGTGAGTCCTCTCTCTTTTTTGGTGTGAGCCAAATTCTGTGTTGGTTGACGCCACATCTCAGTGTCCTGTCAGAGCAATACTCCCTCCTCTAGTTGTTTCTCTTGCAGTCAGGAACTTGGGAAGAATTAACTTGCCATTAATCCATCCTGGTGGGAGCTTGGGCATGCTGTGACTGCTACTAAGTGATTACTAATCACTAGTAGCCTTTTGTGGGTGGGAGTAGCAGCTCAGGCAGGTTTGGGAACTGCTGTTGCTCTCGCCTCAGTGCAACACTGACCCTTGACATGATTTCCAAGTAGGTGGGATGTTCAAGGCTCTGTTTGGGAACCTCTGGATTGATGTTCCAGTTTAGGCTGAAGGCTTAGAGGTTGAAATCAATTTTAGTTTTCACATCCTCTCTAACTTTCCAGTCCTAATGGCAGCAAAGAGAAGCTTTGCTGGGATGAGGAATAGCTGATCATGAGGAGGATTTCAATGAACAAACAGCCAGAAGGTTGAAGTTGTAGGAAAGCAGTGGTTGTAGGAAAGGAGAAGAGTAACTTGGAACTAAACCACTCAGTTTCACCACAGACTTTGGATCAAGAACCTGGGTCCATTGAAGCTGGAACAGAAGGAGAGCACTCCTGCTGCTGTTTCTGAGGGGGGAAAAAGAGGGCTTGTTGATCCTTGTCTTGTCTCCACTTGTATCATCACAGGCTGGTGGGGTAGTGCCATAGATAGTGTGTTTTAGTACTATGATTCAAATTAATTTGACTTGTGGGAGAAGATTTCTGTGCAATGCTAAACGTTCCTGCTGCTCACTTCATGGTTGTTTTGTCATTACAGCTAATAACAAAATCACTTGTCTGGTTTTATTCAGCAAAATATAGTTATGCTCTTGATCTATTCCCCAATCTTCAGATGAAGCTGAACGAGAAGAAGCAGCAAGACTTGAGAAGGAGAGACTTGAACGAGAGCGCCTGGCAAGGCTTGAGGCAAAAGTTAGTTTGTACTCACTGAGAAAAGCTGTTCCTATTTCTAGATTTGGGACAAGGTCTGTAAAACATCAGTGTGAGAATAGGAATTAAATTTCCTTCTGTACTTGCTGTTGGGAACAATATAGAGGAGATTTTCCGGCTTCCATGGATTAACATAAGTCCTAAAATCCAACCACGGCACTGGGAGATAAGATCCCACAAATTGAGGTGGTACTGAGCTGGATCAGTAATGAAACATAATGCATGTAAAGTCAAAGAAAATGATGCTGATTTTTTTTTTTTCCCCACTAAGCAAATGTTTGACTTAGTGTTGCTTTGATTTAGAAAAATAAATGAGATAGTCTTGCCTGGTTTTGATGCATTTAAATACATGAATTTTTGTGATATGTGATATTCCAGTTTGAATAAATGCCCCTTTTTTCCCCCCGTTCCAGTGTGCTTTCAATTGAATGTATTTTTTGTGTTCCCCATAGTTATATTTGGTACAGCTGTGGCAAGAAAATATTGGTATAAATTCCTTAATTGGTTACATGTTGGGGCAGATACAGTGATTTGTGTGTATATACATATATGTGTGCATATTAGACTACATATATTTATTATTCTGACAAGACTGGAATTCAGAACAAAAACTGATTGGTAAAATCTAAGTATTTTTTCTGTTTTCAAAGAAAAAAGAGATTTACAATAAATATGTCTTTCTTTTTTTTTAAGAAAAAGTCATTCTTGCCTATGCCTTTTGTACTTTACAGATTATGTTCTTCCTCTAGGAAGAAGAACTTAAAATAATAGAAATTATAAGGAAAAAAAATAATCTTACACACATTTTTCCAACACATGCTTACATTTTTTTAGCAGCTCTCATTAGGATGATGATATGGAAACTGTTCAAGAGAGAGGTTAACAATCATATGACACATTATATTTATCATGTGGCTCAGCTCAGCAACTAATGTGATGACAGTAACATATTGCAAACTACCAGAGTCTTCTCAATGGAATGTTTCATTAAAAAAAGCAAGTTACCTGCATTTGGATTTGTTTAAATAATATATCATTCAAATATTTGTTTGTTTTATGTAAAATAATTGTAAGACCTAAGCCAAATATTTAACTTTATATATATATATATATTTTAACAGTACCAAGAACAAAAGGAGTCTGAACTAGCAGAACTTAATTCACTGGAACAGAAGTTTCTGTCTGCACAGCAGTGGAAAATGGAATATAGAGAACATGAAAAGGTAACCTCTCTTGCCAAAATCCCTTGTTCTTCCTTTCCTATTTCTTTAATTCATTCTGCTTTTAAACATTTCCCCAAAAAAGCTCTACCAGGGCTTAAATTTTTTTTAATAGATTTTGAGACAATTGATAACATTTGCTTCAGTGGTTCCTGGGTATCACAGGTCATCATTTGGAGAGAGATTGGCCAAACCTTCAGAGCTGGAAACGTGAAAATGCAGCTGAGAGTGAATGTCTGCAGTGTAGGGGGGTGGTTGAGTTGTCACACGATGGTGTTACGTACCTGTAAAGTTAAATTTTAAATAGTAAGGTGGAGAAATACTGTAGTAGAACATTTCTCTTGTGTGAATCCATCTTGCAGACACATCACTCAGTAACAATAACGTGAAATTTGATCCGTTTGGCTCCGGGTAAGGTTAAATAGACTTGTGGACAGAAGGATTTTCTCTTTGTCCTGTTTATCACTTAATCCTCTTAAAGCCTCTGCAGAACAAATTTAGAATCATAGGATAAATCATGTTAGAGAGCACTGCTGAAATTCATGTAGCTCATCCTCCTGCACGAAGCAGGGCAAACTCTGAGGTTTTTATCAAGGTGCTCAGTTGGGTTTTGGAAATTTTAAGGTTAGACATGCCACAGTATCTTAAAGCAGCCACTTTGACAGCTTTACCACTTCTTCATTTTTCTTTATATTCAATAACCATTTTTCTTTAAATGCAATTGGCATTTCCCTGTTACAGCTTGTGATCGTTGCCAGTTGTTGTTTGTGGATGTTTCTGAAAGTGTTTCTTGGAAGGACAAACATAAGACTTTTCTGTTTTCTAAAGTAAGGGCAAAATGGAACTATTGTTTTTAAAATAAATCTTCTAATAAAATACTGGTAGGTTATGGGAAATACCGGGGTTTGTATTAGTCTGTTGTTAACAATATTTATGGCAAAAGAAATATATAATATCAAATGCTGAGTTTCCACATCAATTTCTGTACCATTTCAGTTCAGATTAACAGATATATGTACAATTTATCACAATATTTATCCTTTTTCTCAAAGAACGAGTGCTGTTATTTTTAAGGATGTGATGATGAAACTGAAGCTCTCTTTTAAGTGCAAAGATGTAAAAAAAAAAAAAAAAAGAAATCAGATATTTTAATTACTGAAGACTGATCAGTCTT